AAGTTTGCTGACCCCTGTTTTAGAGCCTAACCAAGGAGGGGAAATTATTCAAAACAGCCAGGGAGAGGGCATTTGCAGGGAAATTAAGCATTAACCAGTATTATTATTATTATTATTATTATTATTATTATTATTATTATTACCCCACCCATCTGACTGGGTTTCCCCAGCCACTCTTGGCGGCTTCCAACAAAATATTAAAATACAATAGTCTGTCAAACATTAAAAGCTTCCCTAAACAGGGCTGCCTTCAGATGTCTTCTAAAAGTATGGTAGTTGTTTTTCTCTTTGACATCTGGTGGGAGGGGGTTCCACAGGGCGGGTGCCACTACCGAGAAGGCCCTCTGCCTGGTTCCCTGTAACTTGGCTTTCTTGCAGCGAGGGAACCTGCTCATGCATGTACAGCTTTCACAGCACCCCCACAATGCCATCGTCATCCAAGAGTTCTCCTGTGTTCCAAGTTACGATAGTGCTTCTATACATCCAGAATTTCCCAGACAAAGTCAGGATTCAGTAGTCAGAAACCGTGTCTGGGCAGAAATAGCTTCGATGTCCTGGTCAATCCAGACGTAAAGCTCAACACTTTTCACTTTTTGAAATATGGCAACCCTAAGTTAGGGTTCCAAGCAGACGTTTGCAAACATGCATTTAGACCTCTATAAGAAAAGGCAAAGAGAAGAAGTGGGTAAGGGTTGAGCACCACTTCCCTCCGCTAAACTGCCCCATTTTGACCCTATTGTTATTCCTTTAACAATGAGGCATTGAGGGAAGATCTAGTAATCTCCTTAGCATTTCCCCATCGCTCGCAAGTTGTGTTAACCTTTAACGCTAGCGTATGTCGTGGGAAGGGGTGGGGGCAGTGGGAGACCCTTGCATGCTGCCAAGTCAGCCTGAACCTAATTTGTGGGCATCTTCTAATGGAAATAGACCATATAAAATGTATACAAATTCGCCGTTTGTAGTCTGGGGTCAAATAGACAGTTTAACTTAGAAATAATTACAAGCAAAGTGTCCCCCGCGAGCTGCCAGGCAGACACGATGATTGCCCAGACTTTCATTAAGAAAAGAAACCCAACCAGAAAAAGAAGGGGGGAGAAGGTTCCAGGCATTCTTTAACTCTATCGAGTTTGTCAGCACACTGCAGCTGATGACAATGTATCTGCCTGCGGATGCCAAAATAAGATGTTGAAATCTTTGTGATGCCTGTATTGCATTAAAAAAAAATTGTTTTTTTTAATCCCAAGCGGAGCCAATTTGCTGGGCACAAAAGGGTTTGGGGAGTAGGGTGGGATGGGGAAGCGGGGCTTGTCGAAAAACAGGTGTGCTGTTGCCAGAATTTGGATCCAGCCAAAAAGCAATTGTTGTTCAAGAGTGTTGCCTTCTCCGCCCCCTTTCAAAAGCCCATCACAACACTTGACCCCGTTTCCCTCCAAAATCCCCGTTCCTTTCTTCAGTTTCACCAATGAAGAGTTACAGAGAAGAACAGTCTTGTAGCAGCTGTTTCCAGTGGACTTTGATCAAGCGATGCCGTAACCCCTAAAGGGAGGCATGCTTAATTTAAAAGGTATTCTTGGTGCTATTCCCGTGGAACAGACATACGTGTGTCCTGGACAGCATTCATAACCCATCCCACCCCCACCTCTCTCTCTCTCTCCCCCATGTAACTACCATACAGTATTTCCCCCCCAAGCTGAGGGCTTTTGTTCAAGGGACATTTGTTATAATGAACCTCCTCCACTTATGATACAGGGGGCAGCTGGGTCTAAGCATCACTGAAGACTTGGATTTTCCATCTTGTTGTTGTTGTTGTTTAGTCGTTTAGTCATGTCCGACTCTTCATGACCCCATGGACCAGAGCACACCAGGCACTCTTGTCTTCCACTGCCTCCTGCAGTTTGGTCAAACTCATGATGGTAGCTTCGAGAACACTGTCCAACCATCTCGTCCTCTGTCGTCCCCTTCTCCTTGTGCCCTCCATCTTTCCCAACATCAGGGTCTTTTCCAGGGAGTCTTCTCTTCTCATGAAGTGGCCAAAGTATTGGAACCTCAGCTTCACGATCTGTCCTTCCAGTGAGCACTCAGGGCTGATTTCCTTAAGAATGGATAGGTTTGATCTTACTAGTTTTTAGTTAGTTTAATCTTAATAGTTTTTAGTTAGACTAAATTTCTGTGAAATTGCAGGTGAAGGTTGAGAAATATTAACTTGGGTGGGACTTAACTTCAGGTTAAACACCTATAGGCTTGCACCGTACGCAGGCCCGGGGCAGGAATTTTTCCACTTGGCAAATTGGCACCGGCCACTGGGTTTTCTCCCCTTGGGCCCAATCCATAAAACAGCCCAGAGAGAAATGGCAAGACAAATGGAGGCTGCTTCTCATTTTCCTAACTCCTGTCACTGTTCCCTTGCATAGAGGAGACAACTGAACAGGCCAAGGCAGAAAGGAGAGTTAAAAGCAGATGGCTCCAGCGGTTGGCAATGGTTCCTGCTGCTGTGCAGGCCTTGACATTTGCCCACTGATGCTGATTCCGGAAACTTGGCCTGATTACTTAAGGATATAGCTTGAAAAAGCCACTCATGATCAAAAGTAAGAATAAATGTCCAAGACCTAAGGTTTCCTCAGACTTTCCTTCACATCCGTCTAGGAACACCAATGAACGCTTGACAGATTTCCTGTTCCTCATTGTTTCCAGGGCTGAATCCACACTGCATAGAAACTCCGCAAAAAACCAAAACTTCAACATTCGTTTTCATTCCAATACGCCACTTTCTTGGAAAATATTTATCTTTGCATCTTACTAAATGATCGGGTAGGAGTCTATTAACATCACCGTGAAATATGCAAAAGCATAATCGTGTTTGAATTTGCGCAAATGGATGCTAGCCAAAGGGAAATTATAGAACATTTCTATATTCATATTCGCTTCTTTTTATCCTTAATTACTTCTAATTTCAAAGGTTCTGGTTCCTTTGCTTTCTTCACTAATATTTGCTGCTGAACACTTTGTACGAATTATGCCGCAGGAGACTGAGGTGTGGAGCAAATTGTACAACACTGCTCCCTTTGCTTTCTGTTCTTTGCTTCCCTATTACTACCATTATGTCCATCGTGTACATTTTTTAAGCAATGGGGAGCCAAGTATACCACAAACAGACCACCAGTATACTACATAGAGCACCTCACAAACACACTAACTGCAGCCTTTCTTTGTCCCATTGAAGGTGCCAATTCTCCCAAATAAAGTTTCAGACATGGGCTGATTTTTAGAGCTCCATGGCATCCATTTCCATTCAGGACTTATTGCCCTGTAGGAATGCAACTGACTAACATTACCAAATTTAAAAATATAAAAAAAATGAGCGAGGACTTCCATTAAGAGGTTTAGTTTCAGTTGTTACCACAATCAAATTTCATTATGGTTTTTTGTGTTTTTTTAAAGGGTTTTTGGACAGCTCCTTTGACAGACAACAGGGGTTAGTTTACACAGCCACTTGTATCCTTGATTTCCTTTATGGTGAACTGGGCAATGATGGTGTTTTTTCATTTCATTAGACCAACAGTGTATCAACGTTTTTAGCCAAAGTGAAACTTTATAAGTCTTTCAGTATGTACTAGGCATTCGCACGCAATCATTATTACCGATTTGATTTGTCCTTTGCTTTCTGATGGCAGCCTGGAAAGGGCACTACGCTAAAATATATTTGGATTAAACAATGTGTATTATTGTCCTTGGCCACATTCCTGATACTCAACGTGTTTATCCACAGGATCGCATTCCACTGAAATCAGAGGAACGATGACTTCCATTGCTTTTCTTTAAATGGACAGGCAAGCACTTGCTACATCAAACCCCATTGCTACATTAAACACTGTGTTTGGGTTGTTGTTCTTTTCAAAATGGGGAGGAATGAATATTCTCTCCTTTTTTTAAAAAAAAAGGTGGACTGCCCCCCAGTAGCATGGGGGGGGCAGTACAATGACCATTTCACCATTTCAGATTAGTACATCAGTCATTTATCTTCATAGGGACGCGGGTGGCGCTGTGGGTTAAACCACAGAGCCTAGGACTTGCCGATCAGAAGGTCAGCGGTTCGAATCCCCACGATGGGGTGAGCGCCTGTTGCTCAGTCCCTGCTCCTGCCAACCTAGCAGTTTGAAAGCATATCAAAGTGCAAGTAGATAAATAGGTACCACTCCAGTGGAAAGGTAAACGGCGTTTCCGTGCGCTGCTCTGGTTCGCCAGAAGCAGCTTAGTCATGCTGGCCACATGACCTGGAAGCTGTACGCCGGCTCCCTCGGCCAATAAAGTGAGATGAACGCCACAACCCCGGAGTCAGCCACGACTGGACCTAATGGTCAGGGGTCCCTTTACCTTTACATTTGCAGGACGATGGTTTGTTCACTCATTGTGGAACATAGGAACCAATTCCCAAGTGCTGAGATCCCTTCGTGCCCCCCTATAAAATATTTTAGGAGGCTGCCCCCCCCAAGTTGATTGGCATTGCCATTCAAATGGTGTGCATGTACAATGTCATGTGATCAGCTTACCTGTTCCCCCCCCCAATATTTTATTCAAGTTGGCACCCCTGTCATGGAAAATATGCACTGCAACCTCTATAGGTTTTTCCGTATGTGCCATCAATGTTCAATGGTCCTTTTTCTTAAAATCCTAGAGGCGGGGTGAGGGAGAACTTCTCCACTCCAACTATTGCAATTGCGAAAGTAACAGCACTAACATTACATCTGTTTTCTAGAAGAGAGACTTGAGGGGGGTGGGCAAAAGGGGGGGGAGTTGGCATCAATGTCCTGTTTCCTCGGCCACTAATGGCTACTTGTTTGAAGAAAACGAAATGAAATAAAAAGGCACTGCTTCTAGGATGCTGATTTTTTTAATGGACATTTTAAATGAATTATCTTGATTGATCTGCTTGTCAAGATAATTAGATAAATTATTCCTTCAATCTACATTTACAAACTCAGTCCAACAGGTACAGAAAATTACCCAGACTAAGAAGTTAAAGGACTCTGATGTAAATCAACAATGAGATTAGTGTTCCTATCGCTCGCTCTTTCCCCGACATACTGGACAACAGAATGAATAAGCTTATGTTTCAGCTTCCTTTGCGTTTTGCTTTGAGTTCCTCCATTTCAGCTCTGTTTAAACGTAAAAGCATTTGAATGACGAGCACTGTAGTTTTCTAAAGAGCGTTCGTGAGAAGATCGCGAAGTATTTCCAGATCTTAGGCGCCAGTTCTTGGCAAACTTGCTTGGGTAAGAGAAAAGAGAAAAGATCTACTTTAAGGCGGGAAAATATCGAAGGGTTGTTTTTAAATAATGTGAATGTACATTTTAAAAAAGAACAGTGCATTGTTGTAATTGTTTATTTCCAGGAGATTAAAAATGTATGCGCCAGGCTTGTAAAGATAAAAAACAAACTTTGCCTTAGACAGTTAAAGCAGTTGTCCCACACTATTTTCATTGGGAGCGTTAAAGCATATGCCTAGATCTCTCCCACTTGTATACGTGGGATTCACAAGGGCTTAAATACAACTAGATCGCGCATTTATTATGCATCTGCATTTCATCCAAATATTTCTTGTCAACATGTCCTTCAAACAGGATTTTTTAAAACCTTTGTTTAATATTTAATTAATTAAATTTTATTTATCTTCCACCTTACACCCGGAGGTCTCAGGGAACAAAAATCACAGAACAAAAATCAAAATATAAAACCACAATATATATATATAATCAAAATAAAAACAACAACCCAATAACACCCTCTCTCCCCCAAAAAATGGGCATAGGATGTCAATCAGATCAGCCAAAGGCCTGGTTAAAAAGGCACATTTTTGCCTGGCACCTAAAGGTATATAATGAAGGCACCAGGCAAACTTCCCTGGGGATAGCCTCCCACAGACTGGGAGCCACTGCAGAGAAGACCCGTTCTCATGTTGCCACCCTACGGATCTCTCAAGGAGGCACATGAAGAAGAGCCTCAGAAGATGATCTCAGGGTCTGGGTAGGTTTATATGGAAAGAGGCGGCTTTTGAGGTATTGCTGTTTATTTATTTCGTTATTAAATTTTTATTCTGCTTTAGCTGAGATTCCTACATTGCAGGGGGTTGGACTAGATGACCCTTGGGATCCCTTTCAACTCTACAAGTCCTCCCAGATGAGCCCAGGGTTGCAGTCAAGACTTCATGGGTGGCATTCCCCTTTGCCTCATCCCTTGTTGCCCGCCCCACCCCAAAACAGACTGCTCCAAAAGATCTCACAACCTTCTGTGCCATTGGGGGTGAAGTCAAGCTTCTGTGGCTGTAGAGACTGATATGGGAGAGACATGTTTTGTTGCAGCTAGGGGAGATGAAAAGTGCGTAAAATGGTACACTGGATAAAACCAACAGCCTAACTCCCCTACTGTGCATATACTGCCTACATAGTTTAAGCATGAACACGAAGTGGAAATTCTGCTAGTGACCATTATGCAGTGAAGGTGGCTTTCCCAACAGGGAAAAGAAAAACAAACTAGGACAGGTAGAAGGAGTGGGGCAGCTAGTTGGCAGGCAGTCTTGAAGCAGCGCCACAGCCCCTTTTTCTCCCTGAATGCTGAAACAAATCTATGAAGACAGAAAGATCTCCCTTCTGTGAAGATAAAGGTAAAGGGACCCCTGACCATTAGGTCCAGTCGTGACCGACTCTGGGGTTGCGGTGCTCATCTCGCTTTATTGGCTGAGGGAGCCGGCGTACAGCTTCTGGGTCATGTGGCCAGCATGACTAAGCCATTTCTGGTGAACGAGAGCAGCACACGGAAACGCTGTTTACCTTCCCACCAGAGCGGTACCTATTTATCTACTTGCACTTTGATGTGCTTTCAAACTGCTAGGTTGGCAGGAGCAGGGACTGAGCAACGGGAGCTCACCCCGTCGCGGGGATTCGAACCACCGACCTTCTGATCGGCAAGTCCTAGGCCCTGTGGTTTAACCACAGTGCCACCCGCATCCCTTCTGTGAAGTCACTGGCTAAAGATTTCCCTTGAATCACAAGGAGACCAAAGAACAAAAACCCAAGATACATCACAAGAGTCCTGGCTGATAAGATGTTCCTTGGCTGTTGTCGTCTTATGGACACATAAAACTTATCCAACCTGGGTAAGGCGCACCACAGTAATAAGGAAAGACTTGAGAAGGGAGTGAGGAACAACTGTTTGGTGATGAGGAATGACTGGCAGACCACATGGATGACTCAAGGAGATATCTATCTTTTGGTGTTCATGGTTTCCCCTTTTACATTAGTTGGTCCAAGATCCTTTTACATTTTGCGCGCAATTGTGGCAAAGCGTAGTAGAAGAAGGCAGCTTATAAATGTTTCAAGGTTTGGAACCGAAATCAGAGGATAATGACAAGCAAGTTTCCTAACTGAGCACTGCAGATTATTTGCCATCATACTTAATCCACTTTGTGTTTCCTTTCATGTGCTCCTTCATGCCAAAGGCTAGCAGCGACCAAGAGCATTCGAACACTGGAGGTTTTGTCTCTGAGCTCGGGCAACAAGTCTACGATAGTTTTCCTCTCATAGTTTTTTTCCCCTTTTGTGATGGATGTGGTGATTCTGAAAGGTGAGCACTTGGAAAACAATACGGGCTGTTTTAGTCAGCTCAGGTTCGCAGGCCAGCAAGCAAATTGACCAAATTTTTAAAAATAATACAGTGATCTAGTTCTGTAGAAATTTGTTAAGCCTACTTCACTCTTTCCTGGGATATGGCACACACAGTGAGTAGAGAGGATGAAATGCTGTTCAGTATTTGCAGCATGAAAATGGGCTTCTACTACCCATCATGCCACAGACAGGTGACCTTTGACATTCAAGTTGGCACCCCGATGGATGAATATAAATAATAAAATTGTTGTTGTTGTTGTTATGGAGTAGGATGTACCTATTTTCATCAGAGAAATGTTGAAGGGTATGGAAGTGTGGTCAGATATAGTTATCAGATCCCCACTGGAAAATATTAGGTGGCAGTGAAAGATAACCAATGAACTCCATGCAGTGTGAACTCAGCAACTAAGTATGTATGATTGACAGCATACATGTTCACAGGCTGACTCTTCTTCCCATTTTCTCCGATTTCATTGCCACACTTCCAGGCTGAGAATGAAATACCTGCCAGCAGTGTGGAATATTCCCTTGATTAATTGCATAACACTTCTTTGAGGGGGAGGAAGCAAAGCTGAAGAAACTTGAGATTTCTTGAACTGACCAGAAGCACTCATAGAACTATTCCCCTATGATGCAAATGAGAACATGGATGAACTACAGTGGTACCTCGGGTTACAGACGCTTCAGGTTACAGACTCTGGTAACCCAGAAATAGTACCTCGGGTTAAGAACTTCGCTTCAGGATGAGAACAGAAATCAGGCGGCGGTGGCACAGCGGCAGCGGGAGGCCCCATTAGCTAAAGTGGTGCTTCAGGTTAAGAACAGTTTCAGGTTAAGAACGGACCTCCAGAACAAATTAAGTTCTTAACCCAAGGTACCACTGTATTCGTATTCGAAAAGGCATTGTTTCAAAAAAGGAGAGCATATGCTTTATAACAGGGCTTTAATTCGTTTTGCTGATTGGCACCTAAGGAGATAGTAAGCCATGCTGCAGCAGCATGCACTGTTGGTGCAGCTAACATTAATAATAACTATAATTATTATTATAATTAATTATTATTTATACCCTGCCCATCTGGCTGGGTTTCCCCAGCCACTCTGGGCGGCTCCCAACAGAATATTAAAAACAAGATAAAACATTAAACCTTAAAAAGCTTCCCAATACAGGGTTGCCTTCAGATGTCTTCTAAAAGTCAGATAGTTGTTTATTTCATTGATATCTGATAGGAGGGTGTTCCACAGGGCGGGTGCCACTACTGAGAAGGCCCTCTGCCTGGTTCCCTGTAACCTCACTTCTCGGACGGAGGGAACCACAAGAAGGCCCTCGGAGCTGGACCTCTGTGTCCGGGCTGAACAATGTGGGTGGAGATGCTTGTTGAGGTCTACTGGACTGAGGCCGTTTAGGGCTGTAAAGGTCAACATCAACACTTTGAATTGTGCTCGGAAACATACTGGGAGCCAATTAACTAAGAATTATGAAATAACACACTATTAGACTGTAAAGGTGATCATTCTAACTGCCTGCCTTAATGTGCATTGTGTTAGTGGACTTTGCTGTTGTGGATATTATGCATTTTTTAAATCATTTAAACTGCTGTGGATATTTTTGGCATAATGTAAATATGTGTGTGCTTTTCTCTGCAATAACAATGTACTGGAATCGTGGGTGGATGGATGTGCAATGGCAACAGCTTTATAGTCCCTCTCACACTGTTACTCTCAAACACCTCACCCTTGACTAAAACCAAAACCGTACACAAAGTTCAGCTGCATACACATTCACAGCCTCCTTCATGCATAGGACACCAGTAATTGCCAACAGAAAATGTACCGCATTAAAGCGACAATCCTGCACACACTTACTTGGAGAGTAAGCCCCCAGAAATGCAGTGGGACTTGTTTCCAGTTTGAAGGAGCACACAGCACAGGAACAAGCTTTGTGCCTTGAATGAATGTACAGTGGTACCTCAGGTTACATACGCTTCAGGTTACAGAACCCAGAAATAGTACCTCGGGTTAAGAACTTTGCTTCAGGATGAGAACAGAAATTGTGCTCTGGCGGCACGGCAGCAGCGGGAGGCCCCATTAGCTAAAGCGGTGCTTCAGGTTGAGAACAGTTTCAGGTTAGGAATGGACCTCTGAAACAAATTAAGTACTTAACCCGAGGTACCACTGTATCGCAACACTTTTTTGTTTCATTTTTAAAGTTTCAGTGCAAAGTTTTTCAAAGTTTAAGCTGCATGTGTTCAGGTCTCACCTCACCCCAAAGGAAAGAAAGAAAGAAAGAAAGAAAGAAAGAAAGAAAGAAAGAAAGAAAGAAAGAAAAGATAGCTCAGCACTAAAGAAAGGCCAAGAAAAATAACCCACTCACCCTGACCTGCCGAATGTTTCCCAAGAGTCGCTCTTAAACAGGTCAGAATGTCTGTCTCTGGTACATTATTATCCTAACCTTAAGCCTGAACATTCCATGAATTAAGGCGAGTTTCACCCTCATGTTGCTTTAAAAACTTACCTCCGTTCGAAAGATAACCCTGACTTGCATTCTTCCAAGTTCAGGTTTATTTAAACCGAGACTCACTTGTCTCCAGTTATGACAAGAAGGTGCACATGCGAGAGAAAATTGCTTGCCTCAAATGTGGAGAAGGGAGACATCCCGTGGAGATGAACCGCAATGCAGTCCGAGGGTGAATGAGCTGCGTTTGTGGGAAACGGTGGGAAATGATAGGGTGTCAGTGTTGTGTTACTCTCACTTTACAGCAGCTTGGAAGGTAGACAGTAAAAAGTGTAGCATTCCTTAAGTGCTTTCTCACACATAGGCTGAGTAGAGGCAAAAGAGGGCTTCTGTACTTTTAATTGTTATCATATGGGAAAGGGAATTTCATTGAGGCCCAAAGACATATCTAGTCCACCATTTTTCCCCCCTCACAGGAGCTAACCAGAAGCCAATGAGAACACCACAAACAGACATGAGCACAATAGCCGTCTTTCACTCATGGTCTCTGACAAACTCCACCTGTTGAAATTCCCTCAATTATTAAACACACAGGATCCCTGACTGCCTTTGCGGTCACTCTACAGCTGTGCTCCTCCTCACACTTACCTGGGAGTAAGCCCCACAGAAGATGCCAGGGCTTAATTCTGAGTAGACCCTGATAGAATTGCACTTCAAGTGTGAATTTACAATAATACATTCGCGGCGCATGCCGTCCCCACAGCTCAGATTTGAACCCATTGCCTAAGAGGTTTTCCCACGAGCATTCATGAAACTCATAAAAACGAGCAGAGTTTCAACGCTGGAGCCAACATGTGATCACACAGCCATCTGCCATACAGTACTTACTTTGTATTCACACAACCTCCAAGATTCAAATAACCAAAGTTTTGTAGAAGATCTTAGCTTTGGTGTTTAACTTTAACCACAAGGTTATTCTAGCTGGTTCAAATGACTGTAGGGAACATCTATACGGACCATTACTCATCCAACAAATATTGTTTTTGTAATCCTGACGTTTTTATTTGTCACTTTTAGGCAATAAAATGCATACTTCTGCCAGTTATTTGACATTACACTGGCTTTGGACAATTGCCTTTCCCACATATTAATAGTAACTCATTATGGACACAGGACTGGTATTTAGTTAGAGCAGGCCAGCTTTTCCAAAAAAGAAAAGAAAAGAAAGAAATAACTATTTCATATTGCAAAAAGAAAAAAAAAAGAAACCCAGATGTTTTAAATTTTCATACAGGGGAAAAACACAAAGTTCTATTGTTTAGGAAAGTGATCACAAACATGAAAGATTAAAAAAAAACAACACCAAGTGGTTTTGGTGTTGTCATATTTTTTTTTTAAAAAAAATACATAATTATATAGCTTCATTTATTTGTACCTTTTCCTCTTTGCAAACACAGGCCTATAAATAGCATAATGCTACATTAGGGCAAAGGTCCTGAAGCACCTCATTGCAACACGTTAGCATTTGAAATAATACAGCCGGTTCAGAGGGAAATAGAATTGCACAAGGAAGATCCAGATGGCAAAAAGGTACCCATAAATATCCCAGATCAAAACATGCGTACTGAGAAGGAAAGTTTCCGGCTTCAACAGGAGTAGCCGCTACTCCTGGCAGGTATGCTTAGTAATGCAACATTGCAGTGGGAACTTAAGAATGCAGAATTAAGGTTCATTCAATTTCGTTTACTTCCAAATAAAACGGCAATCCTATGCATGTTTACCTGGGAATAGGGTTGCCACCTTTGTTCTGGCAAAATACAGGACAGAGTGGGGGGGGGTTAGGGGTGTGTTTTAAAAAAACAAATAAATCTCGTGCTAAATTGTCTTCAAAGCAATCCATTACATTTTATTGCAGCCTAACGGGATGGCTCCTCTGGAAATTGACATGCACACAGACACAAATTTGTAAATCTGTCTGTGCTTGGCTTAAATATATGACCTTTCAAACACCCTTTTGAACACATGCATTTGGAGCGGATCTCTAACATGGGAGAGAGAGAAGACCTGAAATACAGGACAAAACTGTATCAATAGTACAGGACGCCACATTTTACATTGAAACACAGGACAATGCTGTATTATATAGGACAGGTGGCAACAAGTTCAGTTGAAATCAGTTGGACTTACTTCAGAGTAAATATGAAGCAGTCAGGCTGGTTAGGACTGCAGTTTGCAGCTTCGTGTGTTTATTGGGAAGCAAATCCTGTTAACAACTCAGAAATGTGATAGCACAGGGGAATGGCAAAGTTAGGCTAAGCCACGTGGCTGGAGGCTGCAGCTGACCACTTCTCTGAAGAATGGTTAGCTTTTAAACTGCTGATCATCTGAAACCAGCCACACACTAGCCCAGTGGCAGCCAAACTCGGCCCTCCAGATGTTTTGGGACTACAACTCCCATCATCCCTAGCTAACAGAGCCAGTGGTCAGGGATGATGGGAATTGTAGACCCAAAACATCTGGAGGGCCGAGTTTAGCCACCACTGCACTAGCCCAAAATATTTTGTCCTGTACCTTTAACAATGGGGACTTAGCAGGTGGCTTTTTCTGTGGCAAGGAAGGGAAACTGTTGGGGACAGCTATCGGAATCACAGGGGTGAAGCAGCCCCAATAATCATCCCAGATCTTAAATAGATTTACTCAAAAGTAAATCTCATTGAGTTCAATTGATTTTAGGTCCTGGGTTTTGCTCCAAAAGGCTCCCATGGGACTGCATACAGATCGACATCATCCCTTCCTGTGATTAACAATGGCTGCTGGAGCACCTGCCCCTAATTTAGTGAAATTGTGGGACAGTTTTTCTTTATAAAGGGGACCCAATCAGATTCCACCATTTAGAATATGTCTGTTTTGTTTGTGGTCTGTGTTGTGTCAGTGAGGAGCTATCCTGTAAAAAGAACTGGATGAACTTGGACTACACTCCTTTGGAAACATGAAGAGTGTAAAAAAACTGCTTTGCAGGTAAAGTGCTTTGAGAGAGGGCTCCTCCTCTCACACTTACTCAGTTCTATCTGATCTATTTACAAGGTTAATTTCTCTCTCATTTATAGAATATTACTGCTGTTTCTCTGGTTCCAGTCTGGAGTAGGGAGGAATGGACCAGCATTTACTCCTACAGGTTGGATAAAAGACTCCATTGCTTCCTGACCTGTTAAACCATGGCTTTAGGGGAACTCTAAAAATTGTGTATCTTCGCCTTGTGTGATTACTGTATTATTATTGTAACTGTAAAACCTTTAATCTCTTTTAGGTTTTATAGAAAGCACCTGTTCCTCCAGTATGTTTTGGGTGAAGCTGGATAAGTCCTTTCTTCAGGACAAATTCTTCACAGTAGAAATAATCGGTGAGCTGTAATCCATGGGGAAAGATAAAGAGGGTATCACTTCATGCCTGCAACCTTACTCCTATGTGTACATGTTCCTTTGGGAGTATCATTCAATTATATCAGGGTTTCCCAAACTTGGTTTTTGGACTACAACTCCCGTCATCCCAGATAGCAGGACCAGTGGTCAAGGATGATGGGATTTGTAGTCCAAAAACAGCTGGGGGCTCAAGCTTGGGGAAACCCTAGATTCGATCAGTGGGGCTTACTTGGAAGCAAGTGTGACCCAATTAAGCTGTTTACAAGAGGACACAGGTTTTTCTCAGCGAAAATTCAGTAGCTCTAACCTGTAAAGTACATTTACCATCTATGTTTACATGTATTTCTTGAGTTTCTTGCTGACAAATCTAATAAATTACTGGGGGAAGCCAAGAAGTAATAAGTTTCTGAAGGGGAAATGTTTAATGGCAAAGTTGGGTTCCTGGGTGATCTTGATTGTGAATAACTGTTCCTACTGTGGGTAGGAAGACTGAACTGAAAACTAAAAACCCTTCAGTTGCATTAAAGTAACACTTGAGCAAATGTTTAAAGGATGGGTGTGTCTGTTAACCAAGTTTGTTAGTGTCCATCTTCATCACTTAGTTTTCCTTGAAAGCGAGATGGATGGATTCATAATCCCTTTTCCAAAACCTGCTTATTCAAGCCTTGCAATGACAAAAGTATGCTAAATTGAAATTATAATGTGTCATAAAGCAATACCTTCTTTTTAAAAACACCCACACACAACCCAGAGGACATGTGCCATTTGAAGGCTATTCTTAGCAATTAAATATGTTGTTGGAATAAACAACTGGCTCCAAACTCCACTGAAAGTCTCTAAAGATGGCAGTACATTCTTAATTGTGATGGCATGTTTGACCAGAATAAACTAGCAGCTAACACTCTGTTGTGTGTGTGTCTCTAGATCCCTCTGGTGTCTTGGTTCTGCTTGACGAGGAGCTAGAAGCTCGCTGTGGCTATGTCCTGTCAAATGATGTGTGGGGTAATACCATATTCCGGGCTTCTTTTCTTGGCTGTCATGTTATAAATGAGGTGAGGCCAACTCATGCTCTGATTGTGCAGTATTACTGTTCGGTGCCCCCTACCAGAATGAAACAAAAGATTTGATCTGTGAAACTTCTGAGAATTGTGGCAGGGACTCCTGACTTGGAAAGCTCCCCTCATTCAGTCTAATCTTTGGTTTTACATTGAGGTAGCTGCTTACCAGTCTTGCAACGCTAGGATCCCTAGCTCAAAGGAGGATGGGAAGCAGAGGCTGGATTTGATTTTCCAGAGATGCTGGATTTCCCCTTACCCAACTGGGGACCTTCTGGATGAACACTGAGCATTTATCTTGATTTATTTGAACAAAGTTTACATGTAGCTTAGACATAATTCAGCAGTGCATTCATCCTGATTTGCCTGCGGAGTGTTCTTCCTGTTAGTCATCTGACTTTCTTCAATGCATTCCTATGTCCCTTCCTGACTTCAAAAAGCCCACTTAATTTTTTTTTTTTTTTTTTGCTGCACTAGAGTTACAGAACACTCTAGTCTAATGCAATTTAATTGCACAAACCTAAATTTCCAGTGTGTGCTTGAATCCCCCCAAAGTTTGCAGTTACTAAGTAATGGGTAGACCACCTGTGCTTTTTTCCTCCTTTTTGCCTGCCCTCTGTGTACGTATTATGCTAAAAAACACCAGATGCACTTCCAGGCTTCCAAACTTTTGCAAAGATCTCTCACATTTGAGCAGATTCTGATAACAACAACAACTTTTTATTTATACCCCGCCCTCCCCAGCCAAGGCCGGGCTCAGGGCGGCTAACAACCAATAATAAAAACAAGTTGAATGAATACAACTTAAAAACAAGAATAAAATACAACATTAAAATATTGAAGCATTAAAATATTAAAATGCAGCCTCATCAGGAGTGCAACATTGTATCCCATTGCAAAGAAAGTGGATACCTTGCAATAAATTAGCAATGGTGCTCTTGCAAAACAAATCTGCTCCGCCATGCAAAAAATGATAAAATTTCAGTTTTAGTTTATTGAGGCAAGAAAGGTGACAGAAAACTACTGTAGAATGTGCAGGATAACAGCCACATGACAGCGCTGCTTTATAATCTCCATGCAGTTGCTCAAAAAAATTTTATCCGGAAGCCACCCAGTTTTGGATCACACAATGACAAATGTCATTAATGGGCAGGAGTCTTTTCCTGGATACCCAGGGAAGCAACTAGTACTGAGTGAAAACATGATTGCCATCTTTGTGGACCCCAGTCCTCGACACTTCCTACAGATAAATCCAGATGGTAATTTTGAAGTTGCATGTGCAGAAAAACAGAATAAATCATTCTTCTTTTCATACAATTTAGTGCTGGGCCCGGTGTTGTCAAAATGGCGCCATTCAAACAGGTGGGGGAAATCAGCTGAAAATGAAAATAAATAAATTGGGCAAAATAAACCTAAAGAGGGGTACCCCCCAAACCATGAGGACTAAGTAAGCTCAGCAAACATATAATTTTGAAAAGGGAGAAGTGTGAAGAGAGATATGAAATAGAGTATCCAGGAAAAGAGCCATCAATGATGTGCTGGAATACTGAATAGGAACACTCCATACTTCAGGATTTTGTAACAGGAACTATTTGTTGTAGGTGTTCTGCTGCCCAAGCATGCTAACCCACACACATTTGTGTTTTGACTGTCAAGAGAAATGTGTGATGGGGGAAGCTGGGACTATTATTATTATCAATAATAATAATTTATTAATACCCTGCCCATCAGACTGGGTTTCCCCAGCCACCCTGGGCGGCTTCCAACAAAATATTAAAAAGACAATAAAATGTCAGACATTTAAAAAATATCCTAATGAAAGGCCATAGATGTGGAGGCAATGAGAAAACAACTCTGGGATAACGTATGCAAGCATTAAATTAAGTTATTTTAAGGAACCAGTTATGTCAGATTCTCTGTGAAAAGCACTGAGTTGGGTTTTGGAAGAGAACAGCAGCAGAAGAAGAATCTGCTCCAAGTGATGCTCAGTGACAAAATCTACAGAGCTCAGTGTTCTCCTCAGATATTATCTCCTCCTTGAAGATGTAAACTACAATGGCACAACTGATAGTAAATGCAGCAAACTTGTATGGATCATCACTCTGGCTTTATTAAGCACTTTGGTGGGGGGGAGGGAATGCATCTCTGTCACTAAATTCACTGTTTTCTTCCCAAACCAATATCTCAAATTATTGCAGATGGATGAAAAGTTCTCTCTTACTTTAAACATCAGAGTGTCATTATTCCAAGACCTGAGAGCAGCTACAACCTACCAACACCCTATGCGCTGCTCCTACCCCACATGGGCTCCAAGGGAAATTCTGTGTGAAGAGAATTACATGGAGGTAAGAAATGGTTCGATATGCTTCATAAGAATGAGTTGGTATAAAAATGATAAGAATATAAGAGCATTTAGCTAAAAGATTATCAAAATAAGACAAAAATTAAGCAGAAGTAGCAAAGTAGTTGAGGGATAGTTGAGGGAAGACAAAGAAGTAGCAAAGTAGTTGAGAAGTAGTTGAGGGAAGACACAGGGTAGGGGGAATTTTCTTTTATTTTCTCTTTTATATGATAAATGTGTTGAATATTAAATTGTAAAATCTAATTAAAAAATTATACATATATATAAAAAGAATGAATTGTGCTACCAATGATCCTGCCATGTACAGGATGTGAGCAGCCTTCCTCCTTTGCACAACAAATAAAAACATTGGAAACTTAAGTTCTCTAAAATAAGGAAACTGCTAGGAGAGAACTGAACAAATCTGGACCTCATAACCTGTTGCACATTCTATAAATAAGTATAATCTCGTTTCAAGGTATCAGTGAAGACCGATGTCCCTGTGATTTCGGATTATGAGACTGCAGAATGGATGTCTGCATTGCCTGAGGTAAGAGGGGGAAAGTATATGATACGCTGATTTTTGTAAGTTTTATTACCTACCTTTCATGGTAAGAAACACTCTAGAGTTGACTTATGGCAATTCAAAAACAGAAAAACTTAAATTTAAATCCAATGAAATATCAGTTGAAATCTCTCTGCCCCTTTCTCCCTCTGAAAGAAATGGTTTGTAATAAGCTATCCATCCTATGTATATACAGTAGTACCTTGGGTTACATACACTTCAGGTTACATACGCTTCAGGTTACAGACTCCGCTAACCCAGAAATAGTACCTCGGCTTAAGAACTTTGCTTCAGGATGAGAACAGAAATCGTGCTCCAGCGACGCAGCGGCAGCAGGAGGCCCTATTAGCTAAAGTGGTGCTTCAGGTTAAGAATAGTTTCAGCTTAAGAACGGACCTCCGGAACGAATTAAGTACTTAACCTGAGGTACCACTGTATAATGGAATGCAGAGCCAAGTGCAGTCATTATTTCTGGTCCACCAAAGGAACTTGAAGTAGTGGTTTTGGATTTTTTAATTTATTAAAAAGGGAAGGGGAGTTGTTAAAACTTCATCCTCACAACCGTAAGGTAAGTTAGACTGAGATAGAATTACTGGTTCAAAGTCACCTAGTGAGGTAGCAGGTATTCAAACCCAAGTTTCACTGGGCAACATCTAGTATTTTGTCTGCTACGACAAATCACATCAATTCTGGTCATGGCATAGTTTCTCCAAAACCTCAAAGTGCCCACTGAGAGGAATATCTCCATTCTGCATGGTGGATCTGCAGCCATAACTAGATAGCAGCCCCCCTTTTATGTTCCTAGCTTACAAAAATCTACGGCACTTCAAACCCACTGACAAAAAAGTACCCACCACACTTTACTAATATAGAAATAGTTGGGTATTCCTCTGGAATATATCTAGTTCATGAATGCCGGTGGATTTTATGGCTGGTTGAAGATTTGTCCTGAAGTCTAGACCTTGCATAACATTCTTTAAAAGCTTGTAATGAAATTGAAAAATTGCTCATTTTTGTTCTGAAGCTTAAGCCGCTTGAAAATGCTTATCAGCCTAATACTTCCCCCCCCCTTTTTTAGGCACGAAAAGTTCTGTATCAGATATGGCAGCTGATATTCTATTCTCCCTCGGGGAGAAAGAAAACATTGGTGAGTGACGCTGACAAGCTTGGCTACAGTTTCAATAATACGCTGTCGAGAGTGTTCCTCAGGTCTCCCTACTCCACAAATGAAACAGAACATTCAGTGGTGAGTTAATCCTACTAGGAAGAAGATGGCGTTGCTCAGATAGGTCTCATATTCCAGCTGGACTAATAAAACTTTACCAAATGTTTTTTCAATAGGCTAATGGGGTCACTATGAGCACAATCAGCTCCACTTCCATGTACAGACAAAGATGGCTGCTTCTGTTGATTGACACCACAGTGTCATGCCCAGTTGGTGAGTACCTCCCTTCCCTTTCCCTAAAAAAGCATAGTTCATTCCTACAATCCAATGTGACCTGATCCTTTCTGGGAAACTGTTTCCTTTATGACCCTTTTCATGAAGTCCCATGACACCTGGTCAAATGCCTTTTCCGCATCTCTTGATATTAAAACAGCCTTTTTGTCTGAACTTTCTTCTTGGTATTCTAGTAAATCTATTACATTCCTCATGTTGCTGTGTATGTATCTACCTGGCAGAAAGCCAGTTTTCTGGGAAACTGTTACATGAATGTTAATACAAGCCAGGACCTACAGCAACTTGAGTTGTATGCTTACTGTGTTCATAAAAAATAATAATAATAATGCATGTATTAGTACTAGGTCTTAAAATAAGATTTGGCCAGTTTGTGCATGGGTGGTGTTGCAAGGTGATTCACAAACATTAAAATGTTACCTCCTGGTGATCTTGCCTGTTTTTTGTCAAGCACTGATCTGAGTCTTACTAATCGGCAGATGGTACCAGCTTTACGGATGTTGCCATAGTATGGACTGTGCCAAGTAAGATCCCCCGATTGGTCCTTCAAGAACCCACCTTTACATCCCATAATATATCAATGGCAGTCGATGGGCAAAGAATAGAGAATCCTGAACATTTCGGTTATACGCTGGATCGTAACAACACACACATTGTAACTACTATCCCAATTGGAGCGTCTGGGGGCAGGTTAAAGGTAAATGTGATTTTTATAAAATCAAACAATATGGAAGCAGACTCAAGTTGGTATACCAAAAAAGATGCAAAGGAAGTTTCCATTAATTCAGTCAGCTGTTAGATCAGCACTGCAGCAAAGCAAAACCCAACTACTTATTTCCTTTGCATATAGATATTGCAATCAACCCAGCTGGCATAGGGTAGGCCTGTCTCCTGACTTGTTCTGCATATGTAGGTGAACTCTGAGGCCTCATGATATGGGTTTACAAACTAGAAAACTGTATAAACTCGCCCCATGAAACTTCTGCTCATGTACAACACTGTGACCTGCCTTTTGGGTCTCTGAAGGAATGAGGTCACTAAAACCTTGCGACAGAAAGATTAGTGTGTTCGTGTTGACTTCATATTGCCATTGAAGTGTTATGAAGCCTTAGATGGTTGAAATCATCATACCTGAGAAATCAAATAAGGGTGACATGAGTCCTCTTAAATATATCTATGCACCAAATCAGATTTTTATAAAGGTGTGCAAAGACATTCTTGATGGCTGCTTTTTAACTCTGGAGTGCCCTTCCTCTAGAGTTTTCTGAGCCTGCCTTCAGAAAGCAGTGTGATATACGGTATTTCTATTCAGAATAGCTTTTGACAGTATCATGTACTGTCAATCTATCCAGAACCCTCTGGATGGGGCAAGCTTTGAAGTCAATAAATATAAAGTGTTAAACTTCTGTTATTAGGGACAATGATAGATGCATTTAAGCACTGCAGAACAGAATGTGGGAAGATACAAACCCTGTATGTTTTGAGTTCAGGGGCATATAACTACTTAACTGTACAGGTGGTTTTCACTGCTGTTCGTCTAAATCAGGCATGGCCTAACTTAGCCCTCCAGATGATTTGGGACTACAGTTCCCATCATTCCTGACCACTGGTCCTGTTAACTAGGGATAATGGGAGTTGTAGTCCCAAAACATCTGGAGGGTCAAGTTTGGCCATGCCCGGTCTAAATGAATCTACTTTCCTTAACACTTTTTTCCCTCTTGTAGAGCACTGTATCCAATGGTGTCTATGGGGCAGTATATAGCATTGACTTATTATTGGAGCATACCTGGACAGATACAGATTGGCACTTGACCAAGTACACTGTGATTAAGCAAATCACCACACCCTTCATGCCTAGAATACCAAGAGTAGTCAATAGTAAGTGGGGCTAAGATGCATCTACTTTTCAGTTATATGTAAAACATAGGATTACTGCTGGGTCGTTGTACAAAGCTGTGCCTTATTGATAAAGTATTTTGTTTTTGTTTTTTTATTAAGAGATGAATGTACTTTCATTAGTTCCTCTGCTGGTTTTTTTTTAAATAAAATCTTAATTTACCATTTGGGATCTAATCCCCTAGTCCTGGGTCCTAATATTAACTCAAAGATGGTATGTGGAAGCATGTAAATGCATGGCTTGTAGCTTTTTTGTCTCAAAGGTGAAGAAAACAATTCTGCAGTAAAGGGTCTTGTTGGAGGGAGAAGACTAAGATCCCAATTTCTTATTGAACAAGTTTATTTTGTAGGTTCCTTTGCAAAATAGATCCAACAACACACCCCCTGGGCAGAATATAAATCCTTAAAGAAGACCCTTTCTTCTGCGTGGAAAGATTTTGGGAGTCAGTTTACTAAACCTACCAGTTATTACCTGTGGATACCAGTTGACTTCCATCATCTAGTTACAAAAAACATGTAGATCAGTTTACAGAAACTTGAATTGTCTCTCTCTCCCCCCCCCCCCCAGTCACATTCTTAAATGAGAGTAAACTAGTGGTAAATTCTCCTGAGAGTTTATTTTCAAAGTGGAGACCACAGGAAACAAACTGTGTTCTAATATTCTAGTTGCAGGTAGGTAGCTGTGTTGGTCTGCCATAGTCGAAACAAAATTTAAAAAATCCTTCCAGTAGCACCTTAGAGACAAACTGTTATTGGTATGAGCTTTCATGTGCATGTATCTGAAGAAGTGTGCATGCACATGAAAGCTCATACCAATAACAAACTTATTTGGTCTCTAAGGTGCTACTGGAAGGAGTTTTTTTATAGTGTTCTAATGCACTGTTCTTAAAACTTTGAGTCCTCGGATATTCTTGGACTAAAATTCCCATGATCTCCAACAAACACCTGGGTGCCTTAGGCTGAAGAACACTGTTCTAATATTCATGCCTTCCCAGTGACAAAATGCTTTTGTCTTAACACAGACACTGTTCCAGAAACACGACTCTTTGATGTAACCTTGGGAGTCTTCCTTCATGATGTCATTCTGGTAGCACTTAAAATAGGAGAGGAACAGCTATCCCTTAAGGAAGCACAGCAAAGGGGTTACAAGATCTCTGACATTCACTTCCCCAATGGAACAATAGGCTTTCAACTGGTAGTACCTTTTGACGATCCCAACATCTTAAGAGAGGTAAGGCAGCTGGGCATGATATCTCACTGGGGCAAGCATTGTACACACATAATGGTTGAGCTACTGGTAGGTTGGATACAAAAGCTATTTGAGTCTCCTTATGCATGCATTTTCTTGATCCCGGAATTAGACACTAACTCTAACCATACTAATGTGCATATAATTAACTTGATCTTGGCAAATATGCATGTGTTTCCCTGCATTGACCACTCAAAGTATTGAGAGTATTGGGAAACTTTTGCCTCAATAAGTTTGATCTTGTGCTTTCTAGCATCTTACGGTAAAATACTGGTGGGAAGTGGTGTTGAAAGCTAATATGAAGGTACATGTGGGAGAAGTTCATACCTAGAATATGGCAGTGGGGAGAAAAACATCTGTGCAGCACTTAGAGATCTTTCTATTGTCGTCCTTCCAAAGTGATTTTGGCATAATGTGACTATTGCCCTGAAAATCCGTTCTTATTAAGCTAATGCAGTCAAATTCTCTCTCTTTGTGGATTTTACAAAACTTGTTTAAAGTATGTGAACAAAAATGAAACCAAGTATCACCTTCATGTGAACTACACTCTGAATGTGGGACCTCAGCTGAAGTTGTATCACCACCCTGCCGACATAGAATGCATAATTGCAGATGTTGGTAAGTTGTTTTGTCTAAACTGACAAAGTTATAACTCCTGAATGGCTTGTTTAAGCTGCATGCATGATAGCTAGACAATTCTTATTGTATCCCCTAGAAATATAAACCACTGGGAGCAATGAAATCTGTGTGAAACTGAGTAGATGAGCCAGTAAACTGTCTGGATAGATTTTCTTTCTTTGCTTTTTAAGAGTTTAAAACTCTCATAGCATGTCCTAAAGAGGTCTCGTTATCCAAAGGAGAGGCAAATATTTGCAATACGTAACCCCAAACTGTATGATAGCAGTCTTCTTTAGGCCTCTGGGTTCCACCATCAATGCTAATTTGAAACAAAGAATCTACTTCTACTTTTCTTTTCTTTTCTCTCACTCCATGACTCCTCCATTTTTATTTTTATATACATTATTTAATCACATTTTTTTTTTAGTGTAACCCATCTAGGGCACAACCCCAAATTTGATTATGTACCACCAGTTGGAAGACCAAGTATGCGGATAAACTGTGGGAAATCTGTGGCCTTCCAGATGTTGGCCATGCTGGGAGTTGGGGGTCCCAACAACATCTGAAGGACACCAGGTTACCCATCCCTGATATTGATAATCTTTATATTTGCAACCAAATGGAGAACAGTTACCCAACAGAGAAGCAGTTTCTGGTGTCTCTACCTGTTAGGAATTTGAATGTTAAGCCACTTCTGTCAGAAGCCTCATGAGATGATATCTTTTCATATAGCATTTTTCAAAAACAACATTCACTTAGCAACTTTCTTTTTTCCTTTACAGAACTACCAGAAGGCATTGGGTACTGCGACAAAGAGAACATGTATTTAGCTGTACCGATTGCAGGCCTATACAAATACTGGAGCCTATATGTAGGCAGTAAGCCGCTAAGTCAAGCCACTGCCCTCACAGATGGGTATTTTGTTACTACAAATGATACTCATCTAATATTGCAAGTGCCTCTCTTTGCTGTTGGGATTATTTATGAGGTATACAACGTGAAGGCCTTGGTGCCTAAAGCTTCCTTGTCTTACTTGATGAAAAAAGCAGTGATATAACTAATGTGATTTTCTAGGGATAGGAGGCCAGCAGAACTCCAGATGTTACAAGTTCTATCAGACCCCAGCTAGCAGGGTTAATAGAGATGATGGGGAGCTGTAATCCAAAATCACCTGAAGGTCCACAGGCTCCCCATAGGCTTTTCTTCTGCAAGGATATGTGTGTCAAAGTATGGATGCCCAGGGAGGGTGGACAGTGCCTCAGATGATGGCAGGGGTGGGCCATGCACAGGTTCTAGGTATGGAGAAAGGGGTATTCACAGGACTGTGTAAGCTAGGGCGATTATCCTTTCAAAGCAATCCTAGCTGATTAGTGTGGCGTTTGTACGGAGCCCCCGGTCGTCTCATGGACTATTGGCCCATACACCACTAATCTGCTGCCACCAACCAGGTCCTCCCTGGTAAATCACTTAGCCTCAGTCAGGTCCTCAAGTTAACAAAGAAGAGTGTAGTTTATTGCAGACACAAACAAACTTTAACTGCATTCCAAACGTTGTTACTCTTTACCTTCTTAGTCTTATTTTATCTTGTCTCTCTCTTCTACCTCCCCTCACACAAGAACCCACTGCACTAACTGTCTCTCTATTTCCAACTGCCTGCCAACTGCTTTTCCAACTGCCTTTCCCAACCAACCAACCCACTAAAACCAACCAACTACCCACCAGCAACTAACTCAAACCTTGGGCTAAGCCCATTTATAAACAGGTAGGCTCTGCCTCCAGCTTTCCTATTGGTCTACATTTTAACCCTTTTTCTCCCCCCCTGTACAGACATTTTCTAAACAAACGGGCAAACGCCAGTTAGTCATATGGGTTTTAACTGATGATGGGTTTTTAATTTATTTTCGTTGATGAGATGATGGCTCAAATGCTTAACTTTTAACTAATGCTAGAATATATAAATGAAAAGTTATCCTTATAGATACACTTCTTATCATGTTTAAAGGAAGTGTCATTTGAGAGAATTCGAGCCAGGTTTGATCTTCTTCTGAAGAAAACAAGCACTATGGAGACTTTGGATATCTTCTCTGTTAGATGCAATTTTCACTCTTCACAATTCATAGGTGAGCTATATTCCAGTCCAGTTTATCACTAAAACAATGGGGAGATGTCTTATGATCTATTGTGTTTTATTTTAAAAAAAGTTTTTTATTTATACTTTTCAAATTTATACATTTCACATTCCAAAATTTGACTTTCTTCCTTCTCTTTCTGCGGTTCCCTAAATTTATTTTTTAATCTCTTCTGCAGATCCAAATTCATTTAACTTGTTCATTTAATTATGTACTGTAAATATATACTCTCATAAAAGTGCAGGTTATTACAATAATCCTGCTAATGTTTTATCTGTTTACAATTTATCTGTAAATATTCAATGATTCTTATGATCTGATTTATTGTCATGGGCTTTTCTTAGTGTGCTACCCTAATGGAACAGTAACCGTATCTGCTCTCATGAAGACTGTGCCATCCATTGACATGGGCAAAACTAGGCTGAAGGACAGCACCTGTAGGCCTAAGGAGTTTACAAAGGAACAAGTCTTTTTCCAGTTTCATGTTTCTACTTGTGGCACTTCACTAAGGGTTAGTCCTTGGGCGAAGGGTGTGGAGAACAGAAGGGGAAAAGTGTGCTCTTTCCAACATGATGAACCTGAAATATTTTTTCCCGACAGTTTGAAGGTGATCACCTTATTTATGAAAATGAATTATTATTTGAAAAAGAGACTCTTCCAGCACAGGGACCACCAACTATCACAAGAGATCCAGCATACAGGTAGGAGTTACTTTTTTAAAAAAGATGAAACCAGCACTACTCTAGGATCTAAGAAATGTCCCTCTGTTGCAGGCTGACTATCTTGTGCTACTACCCAATCAAAGAAACACTCATGCAAAGTGCTGTGATCTATGGCTCCTCCTCCTCTTCTAGAACTCTTCCTACTGGCTATGGCACAATGATGACTAGGACAAATGTAGCAGGTAAGCAATCTTGTAAAATGCAAAAACCAGGAAGTATGTAACTTCATTTTGTTTGTGTGTGTGTAAAAGAGAATAATTATTAAATACTTTCTTCTCCTATAGGCCCTAGAAGAGCAAGGCAAGTTCTACATATCACCTCAAGCATCTTCAAAGGTAACATTTTCCTAAAGGGAGAAGGAGAGCTATACTAGAACTAAAACTGAATATATCAATTGCTTTAAAAATAATGATCTCCTCCTCTTTATTGCTCTTGCTGTTGGCAGATGAATCTTTCACAGAAACCTATGGGCAGCATTCGGTAGCTCTCAAATACTCAAGGGAACCTGTTTATCTTGAAGTCGAACTAAAAGACGAAGCTCCTGGTGTTGAACTGTTCTTGGATAACTGCTGGATGGCTGGGTCTGAAGAGTTTGGCGCCATTCCCCAATGGAGCATCATTGAAGATGGGCAAGTGGCTCTAAACAACTGTTCTATAACCGTAATGATCAAGCTTCATGGACTAATGACTCTTATGTCTCCTCTCTCAAACAGATGCGAGAGCAAAGACAGTGGATCTGTGAGCTTCAGCCCAGTTACTAAAAGTGACAGAGTGAAATATCCCAATCACTTCAAAAGGCTGAGAATACAGATGCAGACACTTCCTCTGAGAAAGGTACAATCCAAGTGAAACAGACAGGACTAGAAAATATTCATTGTACAACTTCCATAGTTGAGGCAATCAGTTCAGTTTTACTTGAGGATGACTAATTAAGAAGAAGAAGAGGAAGAGTTTGGATTTGATGTCCCGCTTTATCACTACCCAAGGAGTCTCAAAGCAGCTAACATTCTCCTTTCCCTTCCTCCCCCACAACAAACACTCTGTGAGGTGAGTGGGGCTGAGAGACTTCAGAGAAGTGTGAATAGCCCAAGGTCACCCAGCAGCTGCATGTGGAGGAGCATGGAAGCGAACCCGGTTCACCAGATTACAAGTCTACACTCTTAACCACTTAATTACGTACTGTGCATTCCCAATCAAATGTCCCACCCCGCATTTTCAAATATATTGGGTGGGAAGTGCATGATAATGTTACCCAGTGAGCAGTACTTAATTTTAGTTTCTTTGGGATTCCATTCTATATGGCAAAAGCCGCTTAAGCCAAACTCCTACTGAAGTTCAGTAAAATCAGAAATGGCACACAAAGGGCCAGTGAAAATGATGTCGTGCAGGGGAAACAGAATAAGCAGCCCTAGAGTATCGGCACAAACATCTGACATCATCCCTCTTTGCTAGTGAACACTGATGGGAGGTCTGTGTAGGTCTTTTTCTCTTAAAGTTCTGAATGCCATAGACCTGGCCTGCACAAGTTGTGATCCATCAGGTCAAATGCAGAGAACTCAATTGTTTTAATGGTTCCCTACCTCCTTGCCTTGGAATGCAAGAGGGGGCTGTGTTGGTTAGGCTTGATCGGTGCTTTTATTGAGTACCTTCTCGCACACAAAATGAGTTTTGATGCATCACAGTTACGCAGGACTGCTCTGTACTGTTGTCATCCAAGCACTGGTCAGAAGTGTGTCACTTTTAAGCAACTTTTTAAATGCTGGCGCTTAGCATATTGCTATTTGAAACAAAAATGTAAAATCCCACTACAACAAAGCTAGCATCTTTTCATAAAGCTTTTTTTTAAAAAAGAAAGAAAGAAAAGTTCAATTAAGGGATCCTCTCCATAGAAATAAGGCTTGTTGAATGAGAGCACTTGGGTACAACATTTTCAGCTGTAGGACTTATTCTTGCAATTTTCTAAGCCCGCCTGAAAAAAGGGTCCTTTAATTTCTCTCTTCCGCTTCTAGATATACTTCCACTGTACTGTAAAAGTCAGCACCTGCCTTCATCTGCCTGGTAATGGTCTTCCAGAAGGACAATGTTTACAAGGAAGGAAGCTTGGTAGGTGCACCACTGAAAACTCGGGAGATGCTGGCCATTAACCAGCTGCTGAACTTTTAATATATTGTAAGGTTACTTGACTTATCCCATAATTTCAGTGCAATGTTGTTGTTAAAGAATGGGGGGGGGGGTCACCAGCTCTTTTCAAACTTCCTGGTAAATATGCACCCATTAATTCCAGGAACATTTGACTATACTTGCCATACTTCAGATCAGCGTTCTGAAATCCACGGTTACGCAGTGGCTGGACCAGTCTTGGTTAATCACTCCTGAACAAATAAAGTAGTCGGAAACGCAGATATATAAGGTATGTTTGGGGAATTTCAATAAACAATATACAGAAGAAGTTACTTTTTTATATAGAATTGTGCATCTATCAGTATTGCTGATTGCCTGTGGCAATCCAGGGTTCTCCAACTTACCTTTCGTAGACCTACCTTGAAATTCTGATTAAACCTGGAACGCTTCTGCATGCAAAGCATAAATTCTACTCAGCTTTAGGCCTCAGCCTTATAGCAAGATGGTATACAAGATGCTGTATATGGAGGACGAAATAATGCCTTCGGTCTTAAGATCAATAACTTAGGCCACAATTGGTGCTGCAATACATATGCAGTTAGGTTCTGCTGATGACAAATAGATTTAACCTGTCTGCACTTCACTGGTGGCAGATTTAAGCATGTCTAATTCTACATGGTGCTGGAGGAGACTCTTGAGAGTCCCATGGACTGCAAGAAGATAAAACCTATCCATTCTTAAGGAAATCAGCCCTGAGTGCTCACTGGAAGGACAGATCGTGAAGCTGAGGCTCCAATACTTTGGCCACCTCATGAGAAGAGAAGACTCCCTGGAAAAGACCCTGACATTGGGAAAAATGGAGGGCACAAGGAGAAGGGGACGACAGAGGACGAGATGGTTGGACAGTGTTCTCAAAGCTTGAGTTTGACCAAACTGCAGGAGGCAGTGGAAGACAGGAGTGCCTGGTGTGCTCTGGTCCATGGGGTCACGAAGAGTCGGACACGACTAAACGACTAAACAACAACAAATTCTACACTGAATTTTGGGCAGAGTCTTTCTCCCAGACTCTGAAACCATAAAAATGAACCCCGTAATCACAGACCCGCAAGGCTGGTGAGGAGATGAGGACACTTTGCCTATCAATCCTGTTCTTGATCCTGCCACAGGCATAGGCAACAGTCCAAGACAATGGCCCACCACCTGGATCCAGAAACCTTTTGACAAATTTAGCAGCTTGATGTAGCCACACCTGCTGAATGAGAAGTTTGACTTAACTTTCACAAGCCGTCGACTCCTGATTATTCTAGTACGAAGAAGATCTAAAAGTTCCTCCTTTCTCCAAAACAAACAAACAAACCAACCCCAAACACCTACCTGGTACAAAACCCATGCTTATTTGCTGAATTCTAGGACAAGGGCAAGTCTGTGTGTGGTCTATGTATGTAGTAGGCACCCACATGTGTAAGGGGACAAACTGAAAATTATTTTTCTTTTCCAGATATAGCTACGCAACCCTACTTGCTACGGCTGGCCTTTGGATTTGGTGCATTACCTGGGACTGATTTAAAATGTACATATTGGCTTCCTATGGCAACACTTCATAAATAAAAATCTGGAGGTGCAAAATGTGAGTTGATCTTATTTTAGGACTGAATTTGCTACTTCGACAAAAGCATTTTGAATAATTTTGAATTTTGGGGGGAGCCAAGAGGCCTGTGGGGTGCAGTTACAAACCCAAATATTCAGTGCTGGACTGGTGAGGGGGTCAAGACCTTTGTTTGCCAAAGGATACAGTCATACCTTGGTTGACGAACGCCTTGCGAGTCGAAAGTTTTGCTTCCCGAACGCCGCAAACCTGGAAGTGAGTGTTCCGGTATGCAAACGTTCTTTGGAACCCGGGCGTCCAACGCGGCTTCCACAGCTTCCAGTTGGCTGCAGGAGCTTACTGCAGTCAATCGGAAGCCGCGCCTTGGTTTCCGAATGTTTTCGAAGTCGAATGGACTTCATGCTAAGCTATCACCTTCTTGCATAGTCTTAGTTACAAGGATAAAATGAGAGCCTCAACTTAAAATGCTTTAAGTGTCTTACAGTAGAAAGAATCAAACTGTCTCATTCTGCATGACAAATTCATTTGTTCTTGGAGGCAAAATCACATTATTTTGTATCTACTCAATTGTACTAGACAGCTTGGCAAATATCCAGGGTTAGCTAGTAAAACATTTTGCAACAACCCATGCCTTTGCCATTTCAAGCAACACCAATGTAACTTTATTCCCCATTTTGTAAGGCCAAGAGTTGAATAGCTGGCTGTCAAGCAACAGCCTACTTTAGACCTCCTGCCAGGTGTGCATGTGGGCCAAACTACCTCATAGAATAAAACAAAGCCTTATGTAATGCAGTGAACCACTTCTAGACAACTATAGTAGGATCACCAGACAAAAGTATGGCCATTGTTTGACATTAATGGCGCAGATCTTATAGGAAGTGATGCATCCCAATTTAGAAGAAATGTGAAAAGTGCATAAAATAATCTGCATCATTGTTCTGGACATTCTAAGGCTTTTCTTACAATATAACCGAAGGCTTCCCATAATCTGTCCATGTCTGAAGACATTCTAGCCAAGGGAGAGTCCACCAAACCTACAAATCAGCAGCTGCCCATCTGCTAAATTTACAGGCCCCCAGGACTGTGAAAGGCACTGCCAGAATTTCTTCATGCATTTGTCATATAGTGCTGGAAGGCTGTAATCCTGCATGCTGACCTATTTTTCTATAGAATCTCTATAGTTTATTGTCTCCCTGAAGCTCAGCAGGCTCTTTTCCGTTGGAAATATATTATTAAAATGTAGGGGTTGTTTTTTTGTTTCGCAGTCTCTCTACTAATCAGTCTATGAAGGCTTTACACAATGATTATTAAACTTGCTTGGAAGAGCCAATGTGACTTGGTTGTCACATTTGTCTAATGTCCAAAGTGTGGCAGGTTGTTTCATACTACACAAAATCCTTAAATAAGTGAATGTGGCCCCTGAAGGAATTTAATGCTTGTCTTGAGAAAGACAAAATGTTACCCACCCTTGGTTCCAATATCTACAATGAAGAGAACCCAAGGCAAGGTTAATACAGTACTTTAAAAAAATAATCTGCTCTGTCACTAGAAAAAATCCACAGTACAAACAGGTTACACTTCAAATTAACTGACTTTAAATTTAACAAATTAACATAGTGGAGTGGGGTGGGGAAAATATGTGTGTTCCTATTACCAGGTAATCGAATCTCAAGTTTGTCCAGGTTCATCTGGAGTAGAATTTCAATAGTTTCTTTTTAGCTTTTCTTCTTTATCAAGAATAGTCTGCTTTAAACTCAGAGAAGCATCTTCAAACTTAGGGTTTAGCTCCAAGACCTTGTTGAAATCCTTCATGGCTTCATCAAAGAAACCTGCCTCAAAAAAGAAATGAAAAAGATGCCTTTGTCTTACTCTGCATATGACTATTGTACTATTTTTCTGTATCTCTTCTATCAATACAGTATATTTAATCTTGTTGCCCTGCAGAAACTGCAACTCCTTACTTTCATTGTCTCTCACAGAACCTCCCACAAAACCCAAATTTGTTGAGTTGCCCTAACAAATTTCATAAATGAATAATAATTATTTGCACGCTTTTGTTTTCCAAAGACACAAAAAGTGCACACCACATACTATTCCTTGGTATAGTGTAATGATTAATATACAGAATAATAAACTCTGAACTAATTTATGTTTGTATGTCTGTGTGATTGAGGCTTCAATCATCTGGATGCATGAGTAGACAGAATTACAATGTAGGATATAGAATCTATTAAAAAGCAGTTATGTCCCCCCCCTTGCCTCTGAGGCCATTTCAGTGCACTGTTCCTTTGCCTACAGTGGGTGTTTTCACCTCATATATTAGTTAGCAATACTAATCCTAATTCATAGGCCCAATAAGACAAAGCAATGGGTATTACAGTGCAATTGTGTAGACTTGTGTTTAGGAACTATCCAAATGCTTGAGTAAACCATTTACATGTACAGTAGAAGTATACCAGGTTGAGCAGGAGATTAAGCAAGGTTTCAGTCACTGCCATCATACTTGGAACTGATCTATTTCTGATACATTAGTTTGAATCTTCTTCATAAAACTTTATCTAATAAATCACAGCACACAAGTAAAAGGGCAGAATCTTCAAACAAACAGGAAACAAAGCAGCTTTTACAAAGTCAACACACATTATGGACACTGTGCCCTTTCAGATAGTGGGTCATTGTGTTCTAGGGTCAAACATTGCACAAACACTTTATTTTTACAGTACTGCATTTCTAAAGTGGAATCTTTTGGGAATATGGTGTTATGTAAACCCAAGGGAAATCACGAAAGGTGCTGCTACAGTTTTGCATTACCTTTTTATTCCATTTGTTAAAGGGGATGTGTTGGCATTCAGAAGGGGGGCTTACTCTGTGTTCTGCTGAAATCTGGGTTTCCTCAGTGGAAGGACTGATAATGGCAACAAGGTTTCTGGAAAGACTGCTCACCTACACTAGCAATAAGCCATGGGTCGGCAAACTAAGGCTCATGGGCCGGATCAGGCCCAATTGCCTTCTAAATCCGGCCCACGGAAGGTCCGGGAATCACCGCATGGATCGCCAGCGAGCGAGTTCTTTCCCTCCTCCCTCCCTCCCCCTCCCTCACACGGCGGCAGCAGTGCCTCCTCCCTCCCTCCTCCTGGCTTCTCCCCGCCCTGCCTAAAGGAGGAAGGGGGCTCCAGAGCCCTTTTGTGCACCGCTCATTGTCCCCCCTCCGCCACCACCAGCCCCTGCCACTCGCAAGACACAGGTAAGCAGCCACCGGGGCTCGTTCGGTGCTGTGGAGGAGGGAAGAGTCAGGAGGTGGCTTACCTGAGTAGAATGTGTCCTTTTATTTAAAATGCATCTCTGGGTTATTTGTGGGGCCTGCCTGATGCTCTTGCATAGAATATTGTGTCCTTTTATTTAAAATGAACTACAAATACAATATGTGTAGTGTGCATAGGAATTCATTTTTATATATTTTTCAAAATATAGTCCGGCTCCCCACAAGGTTTGAGGGACAGTGGACCGGCTCCCTGCTGAAAAAGTTTGAGGACCCCTGATAAGCCCTGGCAGTGCACAACCACAGGAGAGCACCGGGTTTATGCTAGGGCAAGGAGCAGAAAATAGATACCTCTCAAATGTTTAGCAGCAGCAGAACCTCTGATTATACTGTTGAATATAAGGAAGCTGGGGCTAATCAGAAATTCAGCTCAAAACTAATTCCTGCACATAGAATTATTTAATTTTAAGTTAGAATTGGGACATGGGTGGCGCTGTGGGTTAAACCACAGAGCCTAGGACTTGCCGATCAGGTCGGCGGTTCGAATCCCTGCAACGGGGTGAGCTCCCGTTGCTTGGTCCCTGCTCCTGCCAACCTAGCAGTTTGAAAGTACATCAAAGTGCAAGTAGATAAATAGGTACCACTCCGGCGGGAAGGTAAACGGCGTTTCCGTGCGCTGCTCTGGTTCGCCAGAAGCGGCTTAGTCATGCTGGCCACATGACCCGGAACCTGTACGCCGGCTCCCTCGGCCAATAAAGCAAGATGAGCACTGCAACCCCAGAGTCAGTCACTACTGGACCTAATGGTCAGGGGTCCCCTTTACCTTTAAGTTAGAATTAGCCACTATTCTGTGGATCTTGGGATTGATCCTGCAAGCCTGAAGTCTGCCCTGATTAGGGAAGATTTTAATATTTGATGTTTTGTTGTTTTTAATCTGTTGGGAGCTGCCCAGGGTGGCTGGGGAAACCCAGCTGGATGGGCGGGGTATAAATAATAAATTATAGTGATAATATTGATACGGTGCAGCCTCACGTCATACAAGTGAAGCCTAAGAGCCTGATAAGCACTGATGTGCACACAAGAATCTACCTCAGAATCTTGCTAGACAGGGGTTCCTCAACAAAGTGGAAAAGGTTCCCAGAAGGTAGAAAGTTTTAAAGTCATCTGTCAAGAGAACCTACTCTGAATGTTGCCAATTGAATTAGGACAAATAAATGCATTTAAATATCCAATAAGGAAAGCTTAGTTCCATACCTAGCCTATATAATATTAATCCTCGGTTATAGTATGGGACTTCAAATTCAGGCCAGGCTTCTATAGCTGATGTATAATCCTCCATTGCTTCATAGAAGTCAACTCTCAAATACTTGATCTGTCCCCTGTTGTTAAATGCTGTTGCCAGATCATGACTGATGAAAAGAAAGGGAAGAGAGTTATTGTCACCTACAAAGAATTGTGATGCCTAAACATAAAATGACACAGACAATCTGTCAAGATTATAAAAAATTAAGACACGGCTGAAATAAAGTGAGTTTTAAAAATTAGGTGAATAAAACAAAACAAAAATTTTGCTTAAAATCCATACTTTGGAACTACAGGAAGAAGATGCACACAGTAGTCACAAATCTGTTGCAACATCTTATGCAACAACCCAGGGCTAATCCTGTGCATGTTTACTCAGTACAGTGAGGGTTGCCTTTGAAGTAAAAGTACACAGAATTGCAGCCTTGGGATTGCTTGCAAAATCACTTCCTGTGTAAATGACACTGAGGTCTGTTTCCCAAATCCTCATGTCTTTGGCATTTAAATTCCACCCTTTACTCAAAGGATTGTAATGTGATGTCAGTAGTCCTCCCCCTCCTCATTTTATCCTCCACATCGACCCTGAGAGGCAAGTTTGAGGCAGTAGTGACTGACCCAAGGTCACCTAGTGAGCTTCATGGCCCAGTGGGAGGATTTGAATCCTGCCATCCCAGATCACGCAGTCTGGTACTCTAACCACTACACCACACTGCCTCTTTCCTTTCCCCCTCCTCCCCTTTTAAAAGGGAAAACGAGGGGAAGGGGCTGTGAAGTTTATTACTGCAGCAGAGACGTTGAATGATTTGGGATGAGGGGGAGAGAGAAAATACATAACAGCTTCCCTGCGAAACACACACACGATATTAATCTCGTCTATTGGAACTGGACTTCCCACCTGCTGGCGCATGCGCAGTACTCGATGTAGCTGCTGTACAGCTCTTCCGCCCTTTCGTACCGTTGCTCCCGAAACGCTGCGTGCGCATCACGCAGGACGTTCAGCGCAGGCGCAGACTCAGCTGTCGAGCCTCGGTCCATTATTATTATTATTATTAATATTATTATTTTAACGGCCGCTGTTCGGATGTGAGTTCGGTTCCCAACGCGCAGCTCTCCCTCCCAACCCGCCACAAAATATCTACCGTGGGAACAAAGCCCCCTTCCCTCCCTCGCGCGTGCGCGCCCGCCCGCCCGCGCCCAACTGTCCTTCGTGGCAGCCGTTGGGGCTGAGGCAGCGTCGCGCGACTCTCCTGCCGTGACGTCATCGGGAAGGCCCCAACCATAGATCTATTCAAGAAATGAAGACTGCCGAACGTTTCGGAGCTTCCGGGTTAGTTTGAGATATTCGCTCCGATGGCAGCTAAACGGAGCACATGCGGTTTTTAATGGGTATGGGCTACGGAATCTTACGGGGAATAATTATTATTATTTTAAATAATGCTAATAGTATTTATGGCAGTGTGTGTGTATGTATACATATATATATATATATATATATATATATAACATTATATATGCAAATAAAAATACTTGGTTTACGAACTTAATCTGTTCCGGAAGTCCGTTCTTAAACCAAAGCGTTCTTAAACCAAGGTGCGCTTTCCCATAGCAGCGGGGGACTCAATTTAAAAATGGAACAAAACTCAACAGGAAGCGAAACATGTTCTGCTTCCAAGGCAAAGTTCCCAAACCAAAACACCTACTTCCGGGTTTGCAGCGTTTTTAATCCAAGTTGTTCATAAACTAAGCTGTTCTTAAACCAAGGTACCCCTGTAATAATATTAATAAAACAAGTGGTTGGATGGCCCTCTGTCATGGATGCTATAGCTGAGATTCTTTCATTGCAGGGGGTTGGACTAGATGACCCTCAGGGTCCCTTCCAACTCTCACATCATAAAACTCTAAATTTTAAAAGGCAAAAATTTGGAAGGGACCCTGAGCAATACCTTCCAACATTTTCTCCGATGAAAATAGGGACGTCCCATTATCCATAAGGATAATTTTACTACTTCTACCCCACCCATGTAACTGGGCTGCCCAACACATATAAAAAACATAATTAAACATTTTTAAAAAACCATCCGCCTTCAGATGGTTTGTGGGGTTGGATAACTCTGTACCCTCCAACATTTTTCTAATTAAAATAGAGACATCCTAAGGAAAAGCGGGATGTCCTGGGGTCAAATCAGAAACCGGGATGGCTTCTCTAAATCAGGGACGTCCCTGAAAAATAGGAGGCTCCTGCAATGCAGGAATCGTAGCAAAAGAATCTCTGATATATGGCCATTGACCCTCTGTTTAGAAACATCCAATAAATGAGTCCACCCCATTCCAAGACATTTGCACATGTCTGCTGTCCAAAAGCTCTTACCCTCAGAAAAAAAATTTCTCGTGTTTAGTCGGAATCTCCTTCTTTCATTCCATCAGTTCAGGTCCTACCCTCTAGATCAGAAAAGTTCTCTCCATCTTCAACGTGACAGCCCTTCGGATATATGAAGATCACTATCATCACCTCTCAAGTCTTCTCTTCTGCAGGCTTAGCAATGCCTGACTCTCTCATCTGTTCCTCAGAAGGCTTGGTTGCCACACCTTTAACATCTTGGTCGCCCTCTCCTTACCCCAATCTGGACAGGGGCACTACACATACACAAATAAGCTTATAGGTGCGTATTCTCGCCCGAGTTGAAAATTGAATGTGCAAAATGCATCCTCTGTATGTAGTTCTCACATGCAGCCTTTAAAAATCGCTAATATTCTCCTGATCGGCTGCTTGGGTAGAGCGTGGATTCAGCCTTCACCCAATACCTGATTTGAAGGTGTTTTAGCTTTGGAAAAAACCACTCCATGTGCTGCTGTGACTGATCTGTTTGAGCATGGGTTGCCATCACAAATTCTTTCCTTCCAACGTTTTTGGAAACTTCTTTGGCCCAGTATATAGTGTCCATACAAAACGAAGAAGAAGGAAGGCCTTGTGAAGTAGAGAGTGACTTCAAGAAACCAGAGAAAGTCAGGACAGGCATTCATTTTGTTTGTGTTATGTCTCAGACCTCGTTTATGTTAAGTAAGTGTCCTGCCAGATTTGAAGAAAAGATTCAGATCATTTCAGTTGCAGGGATGGATGAGTCATTAAATTGCTTTTTTTGTTGTTGTTGTTGTTTCTGAGTTCATTCCGTCCTCTAACCACCTTAATGGGTTTCTAAACTTTTCAGACCATATCTATCAAGTGTGTAAAAAGCAAAAAGTGTAAAAAGCAGAGACATCACTTTGCCAACAAAGGTCCGTATAGTTAAAGCCATGGTTTTACCAGTAGTGATGTATGGAAGTGAGAGCTGGACCATAAAGAAGGCTGATCGCCGAAGAATTGATGCTTTGGAATTATGGTGCTGGAGGAGACTCTTGAGAGTCCCATGGACTGCAAAAAGAACAAACCTATCCATTCTGAAGGAAATCAGCCCTGAGTGCTCACTGGAAGGACAGATCGTGAAGCTGAGGCTCCAATACTTTGGCCACCTCATGAGAAGAGAAGGCTTCCTGGAAAAGACCCTGATGTTGGGAAAGATTGAGGGCACAAGGAGAAGGGGACAACAGAGGACGAGATGGTTGGACAGCGTTCTCAAAGCTACCAGCATGAGTTTGACCAAACTGCGGGAGGCAGTGGAAGACAGGAGTGCCTGGCGTGCTCTAGTCCATGGGGTCACGAAGAGTCGGACATGACTAAACGACAAAACAACAACAAAAATCAAGTGTTTAGAATCCCAGAACTAATACCATATTACAGGAAAGACATGTTAGAAGGTTCCCTTCTCTCCAACTAAACACACTGAAGCAGCATAATTTTTGCAGAAGAACCCCAAAACTCAACATTATAGTGTTGTGAGGGGGTTTTTTTTTTATGCAGGTGGTTAGGCTGTATGCTTGAGTCTCTTCTGTTTCCTGGGTCCAGCAAAGAATCAGTTGCTGAAATAGCCATGCTGTCTTCCTGGTGAGGTAATGGCCCTTGTATGTGTTGTTAAGGTAACAAAGAAAATGGCTCTGTGCCAGAGGACAAATGTGTGGTGCTCCCTTGCCTCAACTGGTTGGTAGTTATCGAAAGACAAAAGCCAGAGTTGGAGGTGTGTGAGAGCTAGAAGCAGGCAACAGGCTGAAGCATGTAAGGGAGAGACATGCTTGATATCTGCGGAAATCCAAGGCTGTGGCTATGGAAGAAGCAAGGCCGCCTTGGGGGGTTAATGCTGTGAGCCCCTGACTTGTAAGCTCAGGTTGAATATCTGTGTAAGCGCCTGGAACCCCTGAAATCTCACACGACTCTGAGATTGGGATGGCACGCAACAACAGAATTGCTCTTTGTTTAGGGTTGCCATGTTTCAAAAAGTAAAAACCAGGACACCCTGAAAGTTGTTGAGCTTTTCTTTTACAAAAACACCAAAAAAAAAAAGACTTATACAAGCATATGAACAACTTGCATATAAACGCAGACTTGCCATGGACAAATTCAATGATATTTGGAATCCATTCTTACAAATACTGTAATAGGTTAAAATCTGGTGAAGTGCAATAACAACCTTGTAAAATATACAGTTTTGGTTCCCCCCCTCCCCCCTTTATTTTTCCTTCTATGTGGGTTCTGTTTCTCTTTTTCTCTTTTTTATTTACATCTCACCATGTTCAGTGCACATATAATTATGTACTTTTTGAATTTTTAATAAAGATGTTAAAAAAAAAAAGCCAAAAAACCACATTTTTTCGCCACATCTCAGGAATTCCCCCCGTACGTCATTTCTGCCCTTGAAATCCTGGTAATGTCCGGACGTATGGCACCTTTGTGCATGAAAACAAACAAGCTACTCTAATCAAAGCTCTGGTTACAGCTGTGAGTCATAACACTATCTGTTAAATTACCCCAGTTTACTACTTCACTAAACTGTGATTTGGATCCAGGCTAAGGCTCCAGTACACACTTAACTGGAAGTATGTTTCATTGAACTCAGTGGAGCTTACTTCTGAGAAGGTATTCCTATGTGATGATTGCACTGTAAGTTTGTTGCATGTAGATTCCATTGAACGCTGTAGGCCAAATTTATCATCACTTAGTTCTCATTGAAAATAGTGAGGCTTAAGTGCAACTAACTTGCAGTGCTATCAGATGCGCAAAAGAACAATCTTTTAAGTTCAGTGGGCTGTCAGTCAAGCTGCAGCAGAATCAGCCAATGTGGATCATAGACACCATTGAGGCTGCAGCATTCAGAACCAATTGAAGCTTCTGAACTGTCTTCCAGGGACATGGAGTGAAATGATTCTATATTGAGTTAAATTAGCATGTGGGAAAGGGAAATTAACCCTACAAGTAAGATATTGACATAGTGAGATTGCAAATCCTATTAGTGCTGCTGAGTTTATTAATCATGTCACCAGTGGCTGTGCAGTTTTGAAATCCAATTATTGGCCCATTCACAAGTTTCCTTTGTTGTTTCTATTGGAACATATTTCAACCAGGATTTGTTTTCTCTGCAGAATTATCTTCTATAACCTGAGGGCCACAAAAGAAGCCTCAAATACACATTAGGTCATGCCGGCAAACAGGGTTTGCAAAAATAACTCTAAGAATACCCAAAACAAAGCTGTAAATTATTCTGAAAATCTGAACAAATGTGAGCCTTAAAAAAAAAAAAAAACCTCTCAGTCCTACCTCACAGAACTTTGGTCTGACTACCAACTTTTTGTTTACTATGGCAGTGACACATTTACTCTGAGCAATGGACCATTGCATAAGTTTCCAGACCTGGTTTGATACTCTTGCTTTTTTCCTTTTCAAAGAGTGTATGCACAACAGGCCTAGTCAAAAACCCAAATGGGTATGGCCTTGGAAATGAAAAGTAAAACCAAATAAAACTACTCTCCGGAGTTGACATGGCTTTGATAGATATTGTTGATGTCTTCTCTGGAGGCAGATGAGACCAATAGTGGGTCCAACAGTCAATAAGGTGTTTTTTTCCTGCATGTGCTGTGGGGGGGGGGTAATGAGGGGCAGATGGAGCTCGTCAACCTGGGAAGGTAGCCCATCTAGGAGAAGGAAAACTCTAATCCTAAACCTCTGCTGCCTTGTGGGACATCTTTGGGAGAGAAAAAGGCTAAGGGGTAAACCCTACACAAATTCGGAGTGGAGTCCCTAAGACAGTAGGATGTCACCTTGTATTCTTCCTCCTGGCTGGGACGCAGGTGGCGCTGTGGTCTAAACCTCTGAGC